TTTCTGAAAACATACGTGTGCTAACCCAAATTGACACACCTGAAGGCTACGGATATTGTATATGGATCCTCGCACTCGGAAACGGTGACATTCCACCCCCCCACCACTCTAAACATCCCGTGATCGAACTCCCTCCTCATTTGTCTCTCTATGAAGGCACGCAACAACTTATAACTTTGACATTCTCGTACCTGCAAACAAATTTCAACAACCCCCTTTGGCTTGCTGAACGTCTCATTCTCGCCCTGAAAAACAGAACTGTGTCTACACTCAATTCTATCATTCTGGAACAATTCCTCGGTGACTTTATCACATGCCTTAGCACTGACACTCTTCTCCCCAACTACAATTACCCTTGATGTACCTGTTGACGCCCTAAACACGATTGACATTCTCTCCCTACCACCCAATGTCCTTCGCATCAAACGAGGAACACCGGTCATTCTCTTACGAAACATTGTCATGTGTAACGGTCTATGCAATGGCACGAGATTGATAAATATTCGATCACGAACAACAGATTTTTGCACGCCCGCATCCTCCCTTCACTCCAAATTGTTCTCCTCTCACGCATTCTTCTAATGGTAACTGATCAAACTCACTCTTTTCCTTGGCAAAGACGTCAATTCCCTATTCGACCTGCTTTTGCAATCACTATAAATAAGTCCTAAGCATGCTGGTGTCGATCTCCAACAAACACCATTTGCACGTGGCCAACTTTACGTAGCTGCATCAAGGGTGGGTGACCCAGCACACATCCGCTTCTCTGTCCCTGCGAACACTAACTGAACTGCTAATATAATCTATTAAGAAGTTTCAACTTAATTTCCCGTTCTGACTTTTACCTTCACTCTCTTTTGTGCTTTCCCTGCAGGTATCGACCAAGACAAGCGAGCACCAAAAAAATCGAAGTCATCGTCATCGACAACTTCATCTCCCAAATCTGCAACCATGGCTACAACAACAACGACAAACACAACTGCATATACATCGACACCGCTTCCGCTTCTGCAACAACTCTTCTCACGAATAGCCCAGCAACAACATTGACAACTGCATCGACATCAACGACTGTCAGCACTTCCACTTTTGCGACAACCCTTCTCACAGATACAACTACCTCACCGCAAATATCATTAGCGGCTTTATTGCAAATTGCCCTCGATGATCATATTCTCACACAACTTTCACTCCCCGCAACAATACTAGCGTCTGCCCTCACGCCTTCAACAGTTCTTTCCACAACATCTGCTCCTCTACTCAATTTTTCCACCTCTCCTCATCTCGCCTCCACAACCGCATATGTCAGATGGGATGAATGACTCCGACTACTAACCAAAGACAACATCGAACACATCATCACCCAAATACTATGGAAGGACTTCCTCACAACTTATCGCGCGGCCTTTTCGCCGCATCTCTACGATTTCTTCGCCCTCAATAAACACAACCGAATGCAATCCTTACAAAGTCTTGACCCCTCCAGCAACATCAACATCCAATTCCAACGCGCGAAAACGTTCCTTCTCAAGCTCATCGACGATGACTACAGCCGTACTCATTCTCCAAGAACACCTCGCCCACTATACCAACATGAGCGTATCACCACCGCACACCATAGACACTCTTTCATTGCAAACGCCCCACCACCACACCAATCACCGTTGCAACCCCATACAGCTCATGACGCCGACCCGATATGGTGGCTTCCACTGGAACCATGAGGCACGACAAGATCGACCGCCCTCATTCATGACCTTCAAGTTTTCACGTCTCATCATACCCTCCATATCTACAACATTCCCTACCCACCTCGAACATGGGAGTACTTCAACGACCTTATCTTCGTCCACCATCGAGAAACGCAGCAACCCCTCCCCCCATTTCCGACATTTAGAGCTGACATCGTTCGCCGAGCCGTCACACTTTTCCAAGCTCAAGACCCGCCTACACGATAAATGTTCCACATCAGTACACTAAATTGTATATATACATAATGACAACAAAAACCAGGGTGTAAAGAGATGAGAGACAGAGAGAGAGACAGAGACAAAGAAAGACAGAGAGAGAGAGAGAGAGAGAGAGAGAGAGAGAGAGAGAGAAAGAGAGGAAGAAAAAAGAAAAAAAAAAAGAAAAAAAAAAAGAAAAAAAATAGAGACAGACAATAGAGCTACAAATCATTGTCTCGTGACATACCGGTTCGATGTGGCAAGCTCTGCGGGGGGGAAGAACTGCATGCAAACACGGCATGGTGTATTATCGAGACAGGAGAAATGTGTGCCAAGGGACGAGAGAAAGAGGGACAAACAGAGAGAGAGAGATAGAGAGAGAGAGAGAGAACATAGAGACTAACAATAAAGCAAGATAAACTCTTCGGCTGTGTGACTTTTGTCCTGCTCATGTACACGTGTGTAGCGGACCCACCGTGTGGTGCTCCGCCTGGGATGATGATGGAGATGGAGACTGAGGGAGGAGCGAGATGGCACAGCGCAACTCCCACGCAAGACTCCAACGCACGTACCCGAAATCGTGCAAGTGTAGAATGAATCGAAAACAGACAATGGCTAGGGTATACCCCAGCGGACTGACGAGACTGGACTGGACTGGTTGGTACCGACAGAGATACCGGCCTGGACTGGACTGCCCCGAATAAAACACAGGCCTGTGAGAACAGGCCAAGGGGCTGGTCTCACAGGTCAACCAGAGGTCCGCTACACGATCCTCGGCCTATGATGGATCGCCTGGATACAAGCACGCTTCCGCCAAGAAGCGGAACTCTACCAAAGAAAAAAAAAACATGAGTAGTCTAGGATGCAACCTAGGATATAAAATGTCACAAAACAGCAATGTCACAGCTAATAGCCTAAGTGAAAGCAGAAGCAACTAACTAGCATACATGTCCTAGGAAAGCAGAAAGTAGTGATAACTAGATCCTAGAATGTTGGAGGCAGTAGCCTCAGTCTGGGAACAACTGACTATTGTATAATTCCTAAGAACAGCAAAAGCAGAACAACTAAATCCTAAAAATGCCAGAGGCAGTAGCCTCAGTCTGAGAGCAACAAGCAACAACAAGACAATCATATGTCACAGGAGAAGTGTGTCGCAAACCAAAAGGTGGAATGGTCTCTGAGAGTGGCGAATGCAGCCTAGGGGTCGAAAACTCCTAAGGGCATCCACACATAGTGATAGGGAGAACACATGTCATCAGGCTCAATAAGGGTAGGGAACTGGGAGCGAACAGAACCAATGACCCTAACAGATAGACCATCAGGGTGGGTAATGCTCGACTAAAGGGGTAACCGCTATGGAGGGTCGCCCATGCAAGGGAACAAGGGAGCCTGGTATACTGGGCGCACCTAGATGTAGCATGCGGGGCTGCCTAACTAGGGCGTGAGGGCCGGCAGAGGGTAGAAAGGTGATGGGTAAGAGAATTAGAGCCCAACTCAGAGGAACCCGGCTAAAGGGAGACCATCATGTGACACAACCAGGGTAAAGTTGTAAGAGAGTGACGACGTCTGAAGTAGGCAGAGCTGATCGTGACGAAGTCCATGAAGCTGTCGATGACGTCGATGACAAGAAGTCCGGAATGTCGTCGAGGAAGAGTCGCAACGTCGACGAACTGAAGTAGCAAAACTGATGTGGATGGACTACTGAGAAGTCATAGACGTGGGAAGGTAAGTCAGAGTCAAGCGTCATATCGAAGAGGACGACGACAAGTGCGTTGTGGACGCTCAGAAGCATCCGGCTGCTGATGAAGGTCTGCCTCAGATGAAGCAGGCTCGACTTCAGCGGTCTCCTCAGCCAGGGGAGAAGGAGGAGGGTCAGTGGGCTGAGGAGGAGCAGTGAACCCAGCACGACGAGCACGGTCATAGGCACGCACCAACATGCGAGCATGCTGCAAGTGCTCGAAGGGCTCCCAGGTAGCCTCCTCATCAGGGTTACCCTTCCAACGTACGAGATACTCGATGTGGGGAGGGTTTTCGTCGGTGACTCGGCGACCAATGATGTCTGAAATGAGGAACTCCTTGTGGCCGTCCACCATGATGGGTGGAGGGCGCTCGTATGGTCGTCCAACGAAACGCTCAGACGGTCTGCGGTAAGGATGCAGTAACGAGACGTGGTAGACATCGTGCACACGAGCCTAGTGTAGGTAGTCGGGCAGCTTCATACGGAAGCTGACCGGGTTAGATGCCGTATTAGAACCGACGGCCTGGAGGATGCGGCATGGGCCAAAGAAGTAACGCCGAAACTTACGAAGCGTGTCCGCTTCGAGTTGTAAGTGGCGGGCGTCGATAAGCACATCATCACCAACTTTGAATAGATGATCAATCCTCGATCGATTCGCACGTGTTGCCATGCGAGCCTAGGAAGTGGCTATGTGCTCATGTGCGGTCTTCATGATCGACGTCATGTGTGCAACCCAATCATCCAGCGCGGGACAACTCGTGTCGGGTGCATCTGTGACGGTCGGAGGAAGTCCACGGGAACATAAGGGTGATAGCCGAGGTCGCAATAGTAAGGCGACATCCCTGTGGCTGGCGAGACGGCGTGGTTGTAGGCTATCTCCGCGTGGGCAAGATGAAGATCCCACTGCTGGTCGTCACGAACAATCTTTCGGAGAATATCTCCGAGAGTCTTGTTCATGATCTCGGTTTGACCATCAGTCTGAGGATGGTAAGATGAAGAGAAGCAGAGCTGAGTGCTGTACACCTCGTGGAACCGTCGCCAGAATCGGCTGGTAAAGCGCGGGTCATGGTCAGATATGATGCTCAGAGGTAAGTCGTGGTCACGCACGACTCGGTCAAACACGATGTCGGCGACCTCACGTGCACTGATGGCTTAGCGACACAGAACAAAGCGTGCACGCTTCGTGAAGCTGTCGACGACAACCAGGATAGCATCATGACCGCAAGGGGTCGGAGGACGAAGGGGACCGATAAAGTCCATCAAGATGGACTACCAATGACCCTCACGGATAGGAAGAGGCTGGAGCAAACCATAAGGCAAGTGGTTCGCACTGTTCACCTCCTGACAGGTGAGACACTATGCGACGTAGTCCTTCACAAAGTCCTTGCACTTCTGCCAGACGTACAAGCGGCTCACGCGAGCCAACGTCTTGTGAAAGCTCATATGACCGGTGGCTGCCTGGTCATGGAACTTTGCTACTGCTCGGACACTTTGCTGTCTAGTGGAGGGAACGCAAATACAGGGCTCTCTGGTGCCCTGTGAACCGTGCCAGTACACGAGACCGTTGTCCCCGAGAGAGTAGTTCGGGACGGTCTTGCCACTCCGAAGGGTCGCGTGGATGTTGCGATAGTCGGGGCAGTGGCGGTACTGAGTGCGAAACTCGTCGATCACCGAGTGGTGGACGGTGGTGACCGAGATGGAAGAGAGATGGATTTGCTCCTGGTCGTGGTCAGGGCGCCGGGATAAGGCATCTGCGACCCGATTAATCTCACCCTTGATGTGCTCAGTGGTGAAACTAAACTCGGATAGATCGCCCCACCAGCGAGCTTGTCGAGGAGTGAGCTTCGGCTTTGTTAGAAAAGCCTGGACAACAGAGTTATCTGTGCGCACCATGAAAGGTGTCCCGTGAAGGTAGTGACGCCAGTGCCGAGCGACATAAACTACTGCGAGAACTTCACGTTCATCAGCAGTGTAGTTTATCTTGGCGGGCAGAAGCTGACGGGAGTAGAAGGCTATCGGACAATCACCTGAGCGAGACTCGACAGTACCGTCCTCGGCGATGGTAGGAGAATAATCAATAGAAGGCTCGTCAGTAGTTGAACGAGTTGGCGTCAGTCGGGAAGCAGTGGTAGGGGTAGGTGGTGGGAAGCGAGGGATACGAGGATGAGAGGAATCAAGAGAGGAGGGGAAGACCTGAGAAAGCACTGCTCCTACAGCAAAGTCTGACACATTGGTGGTAAGGATAAAAAGGCGGTAAAAATCGGGAAGGTGAAGAACCGGTGCGCATTTCACCGCCTTCTTGAGGGCGCGAAAGGCGTCCTCGTGGAGGGGTGTCCAAGCCCAGGGTGGGTTCTTCCGGAGGAGGGTGGAGGTAAGGACGTAGGAATACCTAGCGTATCCCTGGATGAAATTACTATAGTAGCTAGTAAGGCCTAGGAAGCTGCGAAACTGCTTGACGGATGTGGGGACGGGCCACTCCGCGATAGCAGTGATCTTCTCTTCGTCCATGTGGAGACCCTGGTCAGACACGTAGTGTCCTAAGAAATCCACTTTGTGCTGGGCAAAGCGACACTTGCTCAGCTTGGCGTAGAAGCCATGTCTGCGCAAGCGGTCAAGGACGTCGTGGAGGTGTCTTAGATGCTCCTCAAGGGTACGGCTGTAGACCAGGATATCGTCGAGGTAGACGAGAATGTGCTGCTCCAGGATGTCCCTAAAGATGTCGTTCATTGCTCTCTGGAAGGTAGCGGGTGCGTTGGTGAGGCCGAATAGCATCACTTTGAAGTCGTAGTGGCCGAAGCGCGATCGGAACGCTATCTTCGGCTGGTCGGCTACAGCGACGCGAATCTGGTGGTAACCGCTACGAAGATCAATCTTCGTAAAGAAGCGGTTGTCTGCTAGGCGGCCGAACAGCTCGTCGGAACGAGGCATGGGGTAGTTGTTCTTAACCGTGTAGCGGTTGAGGCCACGATAGTCGATGCAGAGACGGAGAGTTCCATCCGCTTTGCGAGCAAAGATGACGGATGCACCCCACGGGAAGTTGTTGGGTTTAATGAAACCCAGTCTCAGGAGCTCCTCAAGCTGACGCTTGAGTTCAGTGGCCTCGGGGATCGAGAGTCTATAGGGTGCCTGGTGGTGAACACGATAGTCAGGCACAAGCTGGATGGAGTGCTCGACGTCGCGCATCGGTGGGATGCCAGCGTACGAGAACGACGATGGGAAAACGTCGTGGTACTCTCGAATGAGGTCACGAACTGCGGGCTCTAGGTCAGCCGTATATCGTGCAAGTTCCTCAACGTCAGCGTCAGCGCGCGACGGCGGGATGGACTCGACGGACGGCGAAGGGACGGAAGTAGAGATGGGAGCCATGGAGATAGAAGGAGGATCTGGCTACAGAGGGATGAGCTCGGCGTCGGGACAAGGTGGATCATAGTGTAAGAGATCCGTCACGTTCACCATAAAGAAGGTGACGTCGTCCTGTCGGATGAAGTGGGCGAGCTGCCGAGGTGAGGTGACAGTGATAGAAGGAGGTGGTGTGGACACGGAAGGCTCCGGGGGAGGAGGATCGGGGCATGGTGTCGCGGTGGTACCTATGAAAGGTACGCGATACGTCTCTCCACACTTCATTTTGAAAACGAGAGTGTTCATCGCCCAATTGGCCTCGGTGCTGCGGAACCGACCAGACCACGGAGTGCCGAGAATGAAGTCGTACCTCGTCTCCATCACATCGAAATGTGCAGAGGAGCGGTGGCGACGAGACGCCGGGGAACGATCAGTCGGCTCGAGAGTGAGGAAGAAAGGGAGGTTGGTAACCTTCTGATCGAAGAAGCGCTGGGTCTTGTCATCCCCTAGGGTAACAGAGATGGGAGTCGGAGACCCTGTCGTGGGTATGCGGGCTTCTTTCACCATGCGTGGGTGAATGAAGTCATCCTGAGAACCGGAATCCCACAGCGCTGAGTACACCCTCGTGGAGGTCCCGAGTCGTACTGGGATGATCGGGAGGGTGCGATCAGGGTCAGAGAGGATGGCGAGAAGGTGACGCAGTGCAGCGACATGGAGGGTGAGTCGCTCCTGACGATCCTGGAGCATGCTCAAGTCCAGAAGAGAGGACACAACGTCCTTGCGAGTAGCGAGCTGCTCGCTGCAACGGGCTGTGCGAATGGCTCGACGCGTTGGTAGTCGCGGCGGTGAAGGAGGGGAGACGGTGGTCTGCGGAGGCGCAGACGGTACTGCGACAAAGGGCTGAGTACACTTTGTCGAGTTCTGCGATCGAGGGCGGTAGCACACACTGTCGAGTCCTGCGATCGAGAGTTGAGTACACTCTGTCGAGTCCTGCGATCAGCGTAGTGGAGGTCGAGGGCGGTAGTGTAAGGGCACCGCAAGGAGGTATGACCGTTCAGGCGGCAACGCAAACACCCACGTCGGCCCAAAATAGCCGCGCGCTCCTCCGCGGAAAGGACACCGCGAGGAGGGACAAAGCCCTAAGGGAGGTCCTGTTGACGGACCTCGGGGGGCGACGCGCCAGCGTGACCAGGGCGGCTGCATGCCCGGAAAAGGGTGGAGAGGATGAGCTGGAGGTGCTCAGCCATAGGGAGAGTAGGGTCCTCCAGGTGGTGGTGGACAGCCTCGCCGAGGTTGAGGTCGGCGCTATGGTCACCCTCTGGTGACAGCGGGGCACCAGCGTCCTGCTCACCATACTCGAGCACGCTGAAGCGGCCTAGAAGTGGCGGCCCTGCTGCGTGGAACGGCGGGGGCGACCTCGGAAAGGGAAACGACGCTTGGAAGTGTCGTGAGACGAGGAGGAGGTCTAGCCCGTGCGCTGCGGCTGAGAGGAGGAGGCGGGGTGAAGACGGGTCCGCATCCGCTGATGGTCTCTGGCGGCCTCGTAAGCCTGCGGGGCCGATGTGAACTCGTACCGCCATAGCTCGGAGCGGTACTCGAGCGGGAGGCTGGCCAAAAAACGATCAATAAGGGCAGCCTCGGGAAGGAACGCCACGTCACAAATGAGGCGGGAGTCCTGAAAGACCTGGATGTGGCGATCCAGAGCGGCAGGGCCACCAGAGCCAGACCAGCATGTAGTGACGACACGCTCGAAGGCGTCAGTCACGTCGTATCGGGCTCAGAAGCGATCCTCGAAGAACGCCTGGAAATCCATGAAGGTCGGGGTCTGACCCTCACGAAGGGAGTAAGCGTAGAAATCCTCTCAGGCGTCGAAAGGACCGCCACGCAGGCGCGTGGAGAGGTGACCCACCCACGTGCCGGGTGTGACGCCCATGAGCTGGAGCGTGCGGGTGGCAGACTGCAGCCACCGAGACACGCGTATGCTTGTACCGTCATACAAGGCAAAGTCTGACAAGCGGACGAGTGGTGCGCCACCGTTTTGGTGGCGAGGGGATCGAGGAGCAGAGGCCTCTGCCACGGCTGAGTAAGTCGGCGCAGGTCCTGGAGAGAGGGGCGCAGCTGACTGTGTGCCCGGACCACATGGGGGAGCGGCAGGGGCAACTACGGCACGGTGCGACGGAGCTGCAATAAAAGAGGTCGCAGCAACCACGTGAGTAGGAAGAAGGTAGGATGGGGCTGGATAGGATGCAGGGCGCGGGAAGCGCACCTGCATGGGAGGAAGAGTACAGGAGGTAGGGGGTGCGCCCGAAGGCGCGGCCACCTGTGAGGGTGGGGGTGGCTGAAGGCGTAAGAGGGCGAGGTCGGCCCGGATCTGGGCAAGCTCGTCCTCGAGACGTTGGACGTGAATCGAGCGAGGAGTGGCAGAGGAAGAGTGGAAGAAGTGGACGCACAAGCGGCGCGGGGCCTCCCAGAGGGGGGAGAGCCAGGTGGCGCTGCGGTCATGCGAACGGGAGGGAGGAGCGGGGCACCGGAAAAAGCTGAGACCATGGTAGCGGGTTGTGGTCCCGTGGCCGTAGTGGCCGGAATCTGGGCGGGTGCGCCCGTAGAGTGAGGGAGGGCCTGACTCGCGGTGGCCATCGTGCTAGGGGCGTGGACAGTCACCAAGATGGCCGGGTCGGGGGCAGCGGAGGAGGAAGCTCCGTCGTGGCCACCCTGTCGGAGGACGGGGGACCCGGACTGGGAGCCAGGAGATGAAGGGCAGATAGCGTTTTGGAATTGCTGCATGCCGGCGGCAAGGGTCGCCACCTGCGCCCGTAAGGGCGCGAGGGTCGCGAGTTGCGCCTGGATGGGCACGAGGAGGGAGGTGAGGAGGGTGTGCAGGTCCCCCTGGTGCTGGTGGCTCTGGTCCGTTGGCACGGGTGTGACTCTGTGCCCTGGTCGTCGCCGCATCAGCGGCGTGTGACACACCGTCGGCCATGGGGAGGTGATGGGCCGGATTGGAGGGGGCCAGGAGAGGTCCGCGTGAGTGGAGGGCGTAGGGGGAGGTCCGCGGTAGAAAGAGGAGGACGGCGCTAGCAAGGCTGGCGCGGCGCCGTCAAAGGGGGAGGGGTGGTTCGGGTCCAGGGTGCCCGAATAGGGCGGGGGAAGTAGGGGGGGTTGACGAACCCTAAACCCTAGAAAAACCCTAAGAAAACCCTAGCCGGAGTTTTTGGTGGTTTGGGTAGGGTACCGGTTACCTAATCAAGAAAATAAAATAGCAAGCATAGGGGGGGGAAGGCGGGAAAGAAATAAATAAACAACGAGATTTCGAGAGAAAAACAAAAGAAAATAAAAAATAAAAATAATTAAGGGAAGAAGTAAACAAAGTGTGAAAAGAAAAATAATATTTATTTTTTTGAAATTTTCGGCAGCATTTCCCTACCCCCCATGGGGTCAAGAATGTGCCAAGGGGAAAGGAGAGACCGAGATAAGCACACTAAGTTTCAAACTGCCGCAAAAAAAAAGAATTTTCAAAAATAAATAAATAATAAATAAATAGATAAATAAATAAATAAGTAAATAAGTGGGTGAGGAGGTGGAGAGAGATGGGGTATCTGATTTTTCAAAAATTTTGGCAACATTTCGTTACCCCCATGGGGTCGAAGTATGCCGAAAAAGACTAAGTAAGAGAAAATCAAAAAATTTCAGCAGCACTTCGTTACCCCCACGGGGTCGAAACGTGTGCCGAAAGCAAGAAAGACCTAGACCTAATCAGATTTAGGGTTGTCGTAAATAAAATCGAATTTTCAGAATAAATAGAAAAATAAATGAAATAAATCAGAAAATAAAAAAAGAAAGTGGGGAAGGAGATAATTCAAATTTTTGAAAAAAAGAGAAAAGATAAATCAAAAGGGAGGCGGAAAGAAGAAAAACAGAAAAAATTCGAAGTAGGGGGGAAGGGGAATGAAAAAGTGAAGGAGAAAATAAAAAAATAGGTGGGAGAAAAAAAAAGATGAAGTGGGAGGTAGGAGGGTGAAAGAATGATAGAGAGAGGGATGGGGAATGGTGGAGAGGGATCAAGAAGCAAAGAGAAAAGGAGTAGGAAAAAAAAGAAAATAAATAGAGAAAAGAGAGTAGAAGAATGGGTGGTGGGAGAAAAGGTGGGGTGGGGAGAGGAGTATAAGTAAGAGGAGAGAGAAAGAGAGATATGGAGGGTGGGTTAGTAGAGGGAGGGGAGAGAGAGAAGAGATACCTGGCCCTTGGTGTCTCCAAGGGCACAAGGTATACCGAGACTTGGAGGGTCTTGGCCTTCGCTGCAACAACCAGCTGGAGGAAAGAGGGGGCTGAGATCTTGATCAGCCCCCAGCAACAGCAGTTCTGCAGATCTGCAGATTTATGGTCTGTTGTGTGAGCAGACCCTCACCACTGTAGAGCAGCCCCTGAAACAGGGGGTCTTCAAGTCCACAGTAAGCTGCCACGTGGCACTGCAGGTNGGTCTGTTGTGTGAGCAGACCCTCACCACTGTAGAGCAGCCCCTGAAACAGGGGGTCTTCAAGTCCACAGTAAGCTGCCACGTGGCACTGCAGGTGGCCACGTGCGTAGGCAGCAGCAGCCAAGGGGGGGGAGGGGGGTAAATAACCAGCACGGCACCTCTTCAACACGAGTGCGTCGTACTATAAGGACATCTACACTCTGTGGCGAGTGTGTTATTAAGGTGCTTACGCACGCACATGGCCCAGCAGGCGCCTGGGTTCAAACCCCAGCAGCAGCAAAAATCTCGGATTTTGATAATGTAAATCCGGGAGCGGGGCAGGGCAGCGGGGCAGCGTGGGCGTGTGGGCGTGTGGCTCGCGCGCGCGTGCGGCGGCCTTGGCCTTGGCACTTGCGCGCACTTGCTCGTGGTGGCGCCTGCTTTTTTCACCACGTGTCACCTT